GATGCCAGAGCTACTCCTGCTTGACTTCTTTGTTAGGCCTAGTTTTGCCTTTCTGTATTTTGATCAGGCGGCAATGGCAGCTGCTGGGAACACATCGTTCTGAGTTCATGTATCGCAATTGTTTAGAAGTATGGGGGTGGAAAAAGTTACTGAAGAAAAGACTCATCTAAAAGCAGGCAAAAGGGAATAGAGTCAAGTGATCAGTTCTGCAATGTACTTGTTAGATAATAACAGAATTGAGCCAAAAGACTCATCTAGAAGCAGATGAAGGGGACAGAGTCAAGTGACCAGTTCTGCCATGAGCTTGTTAGATAATAGCAAAATAGCACCAAAGGGCATGAGGCATTTCTCTGGCCTGGTGTCATAAAACAGTCACCTCCCTCAAAATTGAATATTAATGGACAAGCCCAATTTGTTTAAATTGATTTGTGTAAATCAGTAAGTAGGTAGGCATTGCATCAGCACCTTAGATGATTCAGCTTGCCTATGTGAGATTTAAGTTTCCTGTCACTGGTGAAGAGTAAGTGCAGATATTCTGTATTAGACACATAAATTTCATATCTTGCATATCAGAACAGCCTAAGCAGGCAGTGGTGAGATTGAGAATATAGGTGTTCACGTTGTTAGTGATTTGCATCTGAGTTCAGCAGTGCCCTGTATTTGTCGGAAAGGAGCGCAGAAATGAAGGAGCCGAGAGGAATGCTCTGTCAGAAGTGGCTGGATTTGTTGTGGGACTGCCTGTCTTTATAATCATAATCAATTATGAGCTTGGAGGGAAAAGCTGCTGCTACTTAGTGTTTGTTTACAGGGCACTTGAGGATAACAGTGGGGGGCTGCCCGAGGCTGGGATTAGGCTCTAGAAAAGCCTCAGAAAGACTGTGGGTGTGTTGATGGCTGTGTGCTTTGGGAGACCCGCTAATATCCGTGTGTATTCTGGTGGAGAAACGGGCATGCATTATTGACTTTATGCCTAGAAGTTGACTTACTTCTTGAACAAGCTCATTTGCTGTCTTGCAGCACAAAGAATGGCAACGTTGTCCTGCCTGACAAGGTGGTTCTTGATGTTTCTAGAAGTCTCAGTTCTTTGTTTTTATCTGATAGATTATTCTTATTGCCTGAGCTGCTTGTTGTGCTCTGTAAGCCAACACAGCTTTGGTGCTTATAAGAAATGCAGTGGATTATTACAGAAACAACTGTAAGCACTCATTTAAAATAAAAGGTTTTTTCACTCTTATTTAGTTCTTATTCATGGAACCTGATTAGCAGAAGCTAAGGAGGCAGTGAAGACCACCAGGTTAGTGAACTGCTTGAGATAAAATAAAAAAAAGCTTTATCACGCATCAGGACCTTGTTGCTGGGGAGCAATGGCAGCTAAGTAGGCAGGTCGTGTAGAGTCTTGGCAGTTTCAGTCCCGCATCAAGTGACGATGTGCTGTGGTCAGTGCGATGTAGCGCTATTTGAATTCCTGGTCAATATGCTGCTCTTTGGAGGAAGAAGCTGAGTCTTAAAACTTAAACCACTTAAAACACTTCTACCTTTTTGCAAGGATGTACAAAAAACCCTACTTCAGGTGAGCAGAGGCATGTGTGGTTTTGATGTCTTGGTACGTCACTCCTGGCCTTAGGAAGCTGGTGCTCTGTATTAGAAAGATGTGAAGACCTTGTTTGGTATGTAATGAAGTAGCTCTGTTGTTACCTTTAAAACCTGCTTTAAAACATAGTGTTTTGTGTTTTTTTTACTTGCTCTTCCTCAGAGTTATGTTTTTTTGTGATAGTGTGATCTAACGTACAGATTGGGTACCATGAACCCTAAAGCTAGTAATCTGTCAAATTATTTTTCTGTTATAAATGCTGATTATAGTGTAGTGAAGGAAGAGGGTTTAAGACTGAAATCTCAGCAATATTTAGTGAGATCTGTGTAGATTGTCAGTTTTCTGCTGTTTGGAATTGCTCTAGTCTTAATGGAGGTCCATTATTTACATGGAATAGGATGATGCTCTGTTTCTTTCTGGGAAAAAAATCATGCCTTTGTTATTACAACTGCATCATACATATTTTCGCTTTTTGTTGGGCGTATAGTAAACAATTTAACAATAAAATACTTCCCAAAACTTTTTGGTTGGTATGGGTTTTCATGAATGTAAAAAAGCAAGACGGTACTTTATTCAGTTTCCAGAAGCGGATGCCACTGTTAAGGCTGGACTGGGAGGAGGTCAAGAATTTTTGAAATGTGACTTCTGATTGTGTTTCAGCCCACATTTCTTCATGAACCGTCTGTATAGAAAGAATTTCTTTAATGTTTTTTACTACATAGTGTGGCAAGTAAGCCACCATAAATGTTTTCAACAGTATAAAGCCAAAATAAGTTATTTAACTACTTAATTGAGTGACACATGGGTATTTTTTTTTTGGCCTTTACTGTGCCACGCTAATATTTCTGAAACTCTCCTAGGTATTTGGCATCTCAGCTAATTCTGCTAATAGCAAAAATACTTAACAATAGTTACAATACGAAGCTGAATTTTGGTGCACTTCTGGAGTGCTGGTTCCATTATTCACAGACTGTTCAAATATCCAGCAATCCACGCAAGGCAGTTTTCCAGTGACACTTACATTTGCTGCTTATATGAGGCTCTACTGTGCCAGCCTTAATTTCTTGCAGTGGCTCTGAGCTGTCTTATGAAATTCAGCTCCACATCCGCTCTGGGTGTTCGTCACTTGGATATCTTAGCTGCTAGGACATTAGGATTATTAATATTTTTTTTTAACGATTTTGTAGGCCCTACCGTCCCTCTTGATTCCACACTGAATTTGATGGCAAACTGCACAGAGTAGTTTGTCTTCCAATATCAAAAAAGAAATTTCAGGATGTTTATGATGGTAAATAAATGCTTCCCTGCAGTGTGTAGGAAGCAGCTTTACTGAAGACTAAATTATGTGTCTGGTTGGACACAAACTGGAGACTCTCTGTCTTCTTTCCTTAATCCAGCCAAATTAAAAACGAAGTGCAAAAGGTATGTCCACTAAGGAGAGAGGGAAACTCAGTACTGTCTGTGGGGTAAAACATTGTGAAAGCATATTGTAGGTGCATTTCAGGAAGCGACAAGATTTTTATGAAACGTAGTACTTGTCGGATTGATTAATCGATGCTCAAGCGTGTTCTTTTATAATTCAAATACACAGCTGTCATGCTTTGAGCTCAATAAGAATTATTTAAAAAAAATACTGTTTTTTTTCATATGCCTTCGTGGTACCACATGTAATAACTGGAACTTGATACTGCTGCTTCTGCTTGCTTTTTGATGAGACTGAGAGTCATACACGTGTGGAATGACTGCACAAACACCTGAGTTTTACTCTACAAATTGTTTAAATGTGGTTCCATGTTTCCAGGAAGACTGTCTCCCTGTGCATGTGAATTTACAGTTATCCTAGGTATTGAATTCGGGGCTTGTTTCTTTTTCTGTTGAAGAGCATACAGCTTAGAAGCATCAAACTGCATCTCTGCACTCTTTCTTAAAATACAATTTGTCATTGCATAGCAATGACACGAATCAGCAAAACTACATAAGGATCTTTGTCCTTTAGGTGGCTTTCAGAGCTTTCTCCTCTGAGGAAGCGTGTACAAGACTCACAGAATCCAACTTCCCTAATGCAGGCAAAGTGTTAAACTCTTGGGAAGGCAAAACTGGAAACAAGTATGTAATGGAGACTTGTGGAGCTACTGATAGGCAGTGAAAAATTGAATATCTTGCATGGTGTTTTGATGTTTGTTCTGTTAATCTGGCAGATGCATGTCCTCTGTTCACTGAGGATTACCTGAGGGGACTAGCAGAAGCCCTTCCTACGGTTGTAGTTTTTGCCATTTGAAATCAAGTGAGACCCCAGTTTTATTTTCAAGAAGCCAGAGCAAGGAAATATCATCTCAGAAATGGAATGCTTAATAATGAAAACAGGTTTATTAGTCACTAAACCCACACCATGCAAATTTTAGTGTATTTACAACCACTTTATTATCATAAAAATCACATTTTAATCTGGAGACTCAGAAAAGACCTTTAAAAGAATCAAGTCATCAGGACTAATGTTAAGTGTTCTGGACAGCACCAGAAGACCAGAGAGTACAAATAAATAAATTCTAATCACCGTTTCAGAGGAGAGCTCATAAATGACTTGTGCGGTTAATACAGTGAGTGCAGACGTTTAGGTGTTTAAACGTGTAGTCACAGATGGATGCAGTGACACATTAGTACCAAACGTGTCTTTCTCTGGTTTATGAAATGACTTAAATTGGGCATGTGCAACGTGAAGGTGGTGGCAAGAACACGTGACGCTGAAAGTGCAGGGTTGCGTTCAGCTGCTTAGTTGGGTATTCTTTGACCTTTGCATCGATCCCTGGTTTTGCGAAGAGGAGAGTCTTGTTGACAGCGTTGTGGTGCCGGTTTAGCAAATGCTGTGACAGACGTGCCTGCTCACTGTGGGCTTTCGGCCTGAGCTCGAGGCTGGTGATGTTCATAAACCCAAGAGTTGGGCATTGTTTTTGTTCTCAAGCAGAAGGGGAGAAATACACGGCTTGTCCTTGAAACAGTTGTGGCTGTTGTTTCTTTGGGACAGAACCATATTATGTTGCTTGGTGAGGAGAGGCTTTTGTTCTAGACTATAGAGACTTCATTTCTTTGTGCAGACATTGATAAGAATTGTGAATTAGTTTTTTTTTGTCTGCTATTTTATGTGATTTCTGTTAAAAAAGTGCTAAGTATTAAACATTTGTTGTGTTTCCAAAGCTTAACTTCATTTCCTTTAGGTCTAAAGCCAATGGTAGTTGTATTCAGAGTCTTCTAATCAAATTACAATCTTTTTTTTCCCATTCCATATGTGCAGATCTGCTGTTGAGTTTGAGGGAAAATTTATTCTTAGGAAAACTTCACATAAGTGGTTCTTATTTTTTTCTGAGCATTGATGTGCATATCTCATTTGTAGTAGGAAGTGAGAAAATTCCGGATGGTTTATGGAGACAAAAATATTGATATTGATGCCAAAGGATTGGAATGTTCGCTGGTGCAAACAAAAAAAGGCATTTTTTTCCTGCTGCGAGTGATCTTCCTTCATGACAATAACACCAAATTAAAATATGTCTTTGTCACTTGTATGAACAAGTAGTGTTCTAACTCTTAGCAGACCATCATGCCTTGTTAGATTTTATTTTGCCACTGATCCTTAACTACAGGTGCTTCCACCGGGCATCCCGGGCAAAAAAGTACCATAGTTACAGAGGATTCCTGGAGTGTTTTCTGGTTTCATACTTTCCTTTTTGTGCAGTGGGCACTATTCACGTGAGCTTATAAATTGAGATCAAGTCTTAAAATTGTATTACACATCCGTAAGTGGTTACTGACTGCCTGATTAGAAAAGCCCCTTTAACTCCCCTGAGCAGTTCCCCACCAAAGTTCAGTGCATGAATTACCTTTTTCTTTTCCTTGTAGGCAGCTTGATTTGAGAGAAGCCTTGGAACAGCAGCTGGGCGTGGAATTCCCTCTTCTAGTCCCCTTAGCCTTGGGACAGTTTAAGGGCTATATCTCATACTGGACCAACAGAGACTTCTGTTTGAGACTACAGTTCAAACTTAATGATTTAACATTTTTCTTTTGAGAGTGCTTTTTTCAAAAGATTGAAACTCTGCACTATTAGTAAATAAGTAATTTTTATACCGCACGCACATTTTAACACACTTTACTATTGTTCACTTGCAAAACTTTGTATTTTCAGCTAGTATTTTAATTTTAAATTTATTTGTGCCGTAGAAAATTCTATATTTTTTGAGTTGAGGATTAAATATTAATACAGATAACTTCCCTGTTTTTGAAATGTGACCTAGAAGTTCCTATCTCTATTGTATAAAATTAGGTGAAATTCTCTTCCAGGCCTTATGCTATAAAGCAATTATTTATGTAAATGGAATGAACTTTTAACCTATTACTAGATCTTGCTCATCTCTCTCAGTAGACGGATAGGGACTTCACATTCCCAGTGAAAATGACTTGATTGTAACTTTGTAGGCATTAAACAGAATTTACACAGCTATAAATAGGTATTTTACGTTGTTTTACTCTT